GTTAATTTTTAAATGCATTAGAATTTCTTAGTAGTGCTTTCCATGCGATACGAACTGCCATAAACGTTGCTCTTGCGCTAATGGCTTCTGTGGAAGCTAGAATTGTGTAAATCTTTATGAGTTTGTTTCAGAAGAATTAGTCTTTCGATCTCTTTAATTTCATATACAATATACTTACTTTGTCCCCTAGTCTTTTAAATTGGCTTAGCGTTTGATAAAACTAAAATTTGAAAAAAAAAAGTCTGAACTAATTAAATTATTGAATTATTAAGTACTAAATCTGATACATTTGAGCGTATATTACACTAAATGATAAGTGAATAGTTTATTACTTATTTTTTGGAACAAGTTTTGTCTAAAAAATTTAGTGCCACTTAATTAATTCAAAATTTTCATTTTTGGGTATCGAACGCGTCTAAACATGTTAAAATCTAATTTCATTAAATGTTGAAGTGGATTATTAAACAGCACCAATCTGCTCTATACCATTTGGATCTGGGGCATAAACAATCAATTGTTCCTATGTTTTTCGAAAATGTATCTGTCTGTTGACAAATTCAAAATCACTATGTAAAACACGTGAGCACTCTTTAACAGAATTTTATTACCAACATAAAACTATTTATCACGAAAAATAAATCTCTGTGAGTTTCAGTACTATATATACTTGGTGAAAACGTACCGCACAATTCAAAATTCGTGCTATTGGCCAATTCTTGGCCAAAAAACTAAACTAATGGAGCATGCCTCAGATCCATAATGTCTCCACAGTATCGAAAACTAGGGTTAATTCCAAAAGATCTCCAAAAAGTATTTTTTCTTACTTTGGCCCCTTGAATATTGAATTGAGTCACTCTAACCCTGTGAAATTGAATACTTCCCAATTCGAGTACCATTGGCATATTTGGCTCCGTTTCTGATTAAGTTGATAATGTGAGATGCACAATTGAATGTGGAAAGACTAGATGCCCCCAAATAAGTTACGTTGAATGCGTCATGGTAACAATACCTATAAGTATATATAATGGATCCATATGCATCAAACTATTGTCTGTACGGCCCCAAAAAAAAAAAAGATATAAAAGGCAAAATAGACCAAATATGATTTTCAAGTGCCTCATTATTTTTGAAAATGGGAAAAAGTATTTTAGAGATTCCATGTGTACCATTTAGTTTACACAATAGTTTTGTGTGTATTGATTTATTAGACTAAGGGATATATTAAGAACATAGTCTATCTAACGTCATTGGAGTGATTTGGTCTTTTTCAAAATAGTATATGTATCTCAGGTGAGCAATTCAGACAGAAATTAGGCTTGCTATGTTGATTATACTTGATTAGAAAAAAAAATTAAGTACCATTTTTTTGGGGGGGGGGGGTGGTGGGGGATGTGGATTGATCTAATTCAACATTAAGGGGGACAAAGTGAAGAAAAGGTATTTTCTGGGTGGGCCTTTTTAGAATTTACCCTAAAATCTAAAGGGGAGCAAAAAAGACCGTGCATTGTTCCCTTTTTAAGTCAATACGTTGTATCTATATCTAGTTCCGAACTCTTTTGGATGAATCTAAATTCGCTTATGTAATAAAGGCCCCATTTGTCTAAAACTTTAATGTAATTTGCTGTAAAAGTTATAGGAAAAATTTTTGAAATGTGTAAATTTTTGGATATTTTGAAATGTATAATTTAAAATTTTTGATAAATTTTTTGAGATTATTGTAATTAAACTTGTTAAAAAACTTGTAGCTGACAAATTTGGCCAAAAACTTGTTTGCCAACTAGGGCCAAACTTCAATCATAAATTAAAGGGATAATTACAGAAACCTCCCCTGAGGTTTCTGACATTTACACTCACCTCCCCTGTGGTTTGAACAATTACACTAACCTCCCCTGAGGTTACTAATCCTTTACAAATTAAAATATCGTTTTAGAGAGTGAAACTAGAATTTTGTACCTGATTTGCCTTTGTGCTACATGTCCAATGAATGGCAAAGTATTACAAATTAATTAACAATTAATAAACTTTAACGAGCGTAGTTTATAGGCAAATACGTATTGCCTATTTAAAGTACCAGCTCTTTACATGAATTTTATTTTCAAACATTTACTTTATCACAAATATTTATTCTCAAATACAGATTTGTATTTACTCTCAAATATTTAATTTTTGTTAAATACAAAACCTACCAGTTTTTCTTCCGTAGAAATATTAATATAACATTTTTTCAATTTCAATTACAAATATTTATGTATTTAACATAAATTAAATGATTCACAATAAAATACTTATAAAGAGCTAATACTTTACTCATGTAATGGATGAAAGCCATAAAAAATTAATATTTTATAGGCCATTTCTTTTTTTTTTTTAATTTTAATTTATATTAAATAGAAAACCTATCGATTTTCTTTTTACAAGAATATTATTGTAACACCTTTTAATTTTTAATTACAAATATTGATATATTTATTGTAAATTAAATATTTAAAAATAAAATACATGTAAAGAGCCGGTAATTTAAATAAGTTATGCGTGTTTGCCTATAAACTACACTCCTTACTTAAATCAATAAACTACACTCCTTAACTTAAATCAATAAACTATACTCCTTACTTTAAATAGTGTAGTTTATAGGCAAATACGCATATCCTATTTAAAGTATCGGTTCTTTACAGATATTTTATTTTCAAATATTTAATTTATGATAAATATATTAACATTTGTAATTAAAAATTTAAAAGTGTTAAAGTAATATTCTTGCAAAAAAAATCAGTAGGTTATCTATTTAATATAAATTAAATATTTTTTACAAAATAAATGGCCTCATAAACTATTAATTTTTTATGACTTTCATCCATTACATGAGTAAAGTATTGGCTCTTTATGGATATTTTATCCTGAATCATTTAATTTATGTTAAATACATAAATATTTATAACTAAAATTGAAAAAGTGTTATATTAATATTTCTACGGAAGAAAAACTGGTAGGTTTTGTGTTTAACAAAAATTAAATATTTGAGAGTAAATACAAATCTGTATTTGAGAATAAATATTTGTGATAAAGTAAATGTTTGAAAGTAAAATACATGTAAAGAGCTGGTACTTTAAATAGGCAATACGTATTTGCCTATAAACTACGCTCGTTAAAGTTTATTAATTGTTAATTAATTTGTAATACTTTGCCATTCATTGGACATGTGGCACAAAGGACAAATCAGGTACAAAATTCTAATTTCACTCTCTAAAATAATATTTTAATCATTTGGACTGAATTTGTAAAGGATTAGTAACCTCAAGGGAAGTCAGTGTAATTGTTCAAACCACAGGGGAGGTAAGTGTAAATGTCAGAAACCTCCCCTGAGGTTTCTGAAATTATCCCATTTTTGAAATCCTAGTCACTTCATCTTCAACTTTTGTTGTAGGAATTGAGAGCCGTTGGATTAAAATATCTTTAGAAAGAAACATGCGACGGGGTATTGTCAAGGGCAGAGATGACGATGACGACTCAAAAAATATTGAGGAAAGGTCACCTGCAGGGTGCTTTCCCACCATCACCTCCAGGGCTAGGACGCCAAAGCTGTAAACGTCGTTTTTGGCAGTTACCTCCATTAAGCAAGCATATTCTACAGTTCATCAGACATGGAAGAGGAAAAATAGTATATTAAGTAGAAAACCACCAGTCCAAAGCCTCGCGGCCACCACCAAAGCATTAAAAGTTTGGTGGCGTGGGAGGCAAGATTTGCCACATTAAAGTGACTTTGTTTAAAAAATTCAGGTAAGTTCGTAGTACATCCGTCTGGTCCGGTAGTGATTCAGTCCCCTTTGGATTATCCCCGGACCTTCTTAGGTCTGCCCTTTCCCTCTAGTGTAGGATAAATTAGGTTATATAATAGTTATCGTCTCTGAAAAAAAAAAAGTAGAAAACCAAGAAAAGGCTATACTATACATATTTGATTTTCCTCTAAATTGGTGTATATGAAATTTCTTTGCTGCATGTATATATAACATACAATCAGTATACTAACTTGGAAATTGCTACCAGTTAGTGTGGCAAAAACTATTATATGCTAGTATAAATTTACTTGAAAGGACATAAATTATGGCAAAGGTACTTGTAACTCAAAGCAGAAGGACCTAGTCAAGGAGCAACCATGTGAACTTTAATATGGTTTTTGCCACTGTTCAACTTATAAACTCAATTTTGATTTGCTAATTTACATATCCTCGTGTACTTTCACATACTATATATAGCCAAACACCTTTAGGGGGAATAGAAAAAAAAAACTCAGAATTCAACTTAGGTTCCGTTTGATAAAACTGAATCTGAATTCTGAAGTCTGAATTCTAAAATCTGAATACTGAAACAATTAATTTGCTGAATTTTAAGCACTAAAAAAAATATATGAATGTCTGAATTTTAATGCTAAATCTATTTATACCGTTTGATAAATATTTATAACTGAATGCTTAATAAGTTTAATTTGACAATTTTGCCCTTATATCCTTTGATTCAAAAAAGAAATAGAATTTATGATTTAATTAGTTTAAAATTGTTAGGTATGAAAATAGAAATATTTATTTTTAAATCAAATTAATATAAAAGATGAAATATATTATATGAGGAGTATGGATAAGATGTAAAAGTCATTAAAAAGGGAGAAAAGAGAAACTAAAAATCGTTAAATAGAGAATATTATGTTATTTAATTAGATACGAATTTTGAACATAATTAGCAAACAAGGGTAGATTTGGTAGATAAGATAAGGTAGTTGAAGTAATTCTATTGATTCTTATCAGAATTAAGCATTCAGTTAGGATTCTTGTGCTGAAAAAAATACACACAGGTTCAGCACTGCTTAACAAGTTCAGCAAATAGATTTTCATTTATCAAACACTCAAAACATCTGAATGTCTGAAAAAATTCAGATTCAGCACTTTTTTATGTTATCAAACAGACCCTTAGTCTCTAGCCTTTTTCCCTTCCACATTGTTGATTGACTAATCGTCAAGACAAAGAGAGTTAAAAAGAGTACTTGGAGGTGCATATCCATGTGTACCAACGAATGCAGTCAGATTGGAGGAGTCTAGGCTCAGGAATCTTGCTGTGCCAAAGTCCGAAATATGAGCATTTTCTTGAGAATCTAACGAAACATTCTTGCTTGATATGTCCCTGTGAACCAATGGAGGTGAAAAATCATGGTGCATATAGCATAATCCATTTGCAACATCTTTCACAATATTAACCCTTTTGGACCATGGAAGTTTCAATGCTTTTTCATCAGTTTCCAACATGTTATAAAGGATTCCCCCTTCTAGGAACTCATACGCCAAGAATGAGTGTCTTGAATGACTGCAAAAACCATACAGCTTCATAATGTTGCGATGTCGTAATTTTGTTTAATGCGCTTTTTGCAACATTGAATGCACCACTTTCTAATTGCATGAATCTTCTTCACTGCAACAGTCTTCCCATCTGGCAATTCTGCTTTGTAAACACTTTCATGCCCCCCGTGTCCAATGCAATGGTTTGGACTAAGGTAATCTGTTGCTTCAATAATGTTTTGATATGCCATCTTCCCATCAAAGCTCGAAATGGATAACAAATTTTGTACAGATCCTGAAGGTCCTGAAGGCTTATTTTCCATGATTCTTTTACAAGAATTCAGACGGAAGAAAATGCCAACAACAGTCATGATCAGAAAAATCATAGCTGCCACTATAGCAAGAATAACCAAAAGAAGTTTCCTTTTGCTTCTCCTCCTCCTAGAATCCTCCTTTTTCCTTGGTGAAAGGCATGGATTTAATCCAAAAGTTTTACCACATAAAGTTTTATTGTTTCTTAAGGCTCCAAAAGAAGCCTTTTGAAACTCTGGAATGTTGGGAAGAGGACCCTCTAATTGGTTGTAGGACATATAGGTAGAGATCAAACTAAAACACTGATCAAAGCTTGAGGGGATGGTTCTTGATATCTCATTGTGTGAAAGATTCATCTTCTCTATGCTTGGCAACCATCCAAACTGTTCTGGTATTTTACCAATCAGCATGTTATTGCTCAGATCAACAGTTTCTAAGGTAGGTATAAAGCCTAGTTGAGAAGGAATACTTCCTCTAAGCTTTTTTTGACTTAAATTCAAGTCCCCTAGTTGCATACAATCTCTCAACTGCTCCGGAATTTTGCCGGTAAGATCGTTGGTTGACAAGCTAAGTTTGGCAAGTCGAGAAAACTTGCCAATTTCTAAGGGAATGTTGCCTGAAAGCTTGTTCTCATTCAACTTAAGCTCTAGCATTAAAGTCAAATTGCCCAAACTTCTCGGAATCCCCCCAAATAATTGATTTGAAGAAAGATCAAGTCTCTGAAGTTGAAATACCTCTCCAAGCTCAGTTGTTATTTTGCCAGTAATGTTGCTGCCGGAAATCTTTAAGCTTGTTAACTTTTTGAAGTTACTCCAGTTTGAAGGCAATTCGCCATAAAACTCATTGTAGCTTAAGTCAATGTAATCAGAATTTGGATATATCCCAAAATCTTCTGATTGATTTCCAACAAATTTATTTCTTTCAATTCGGGTCCTTTGCAAACTAGTGCAGTGTCTCAAGCTTTTGAGAATGTTCATATATTTTTGTGTAAATGACCATGAAGATTGTAATTACCCAGTGACAACACTAGTTTGTTCGAGGACAAACTCGCCTTGGTAAGGGAATGCAACTGTCCCATTTCTGAGTTTCAAAACTGTGAGTCTAGTCAAGTTGCCAATAGAAGAAGGAATAAAACCAGAGAGCTCATTTTCATGAAGATACAACATTTCTAGAAGCCTTAAGTTTCCAACAGATGAAGGAATTGAACCTTTGAGCTCATTACATCCTAGATCAAGAAAAACCGCATTCTTTAGAAGCCCAAACTCCCCCGGAATTGAGCCATTTATATGGTTGATTCTAATGCTAAATATCTAACATTTATCAGTTTCCCTGTTTCAGTTGGAATTTCTCCAGACAGATGATTATTTAAGAAATTAAGGTACCGGAGCCTAGAAAGGCTACCGATGTTGGAAGGAATAGTCCCGTGAAATGAATTGTTTATAAGGTTAAAAGTACATGAGATAGGGAAAGCATGAAAAATTGAGACTCTGAAGCTCACCAGTTATACCACAATTTGCAATATGTTTGGTTTCAACTCTTCCAGCTTTGTTGCATCCAATTCCAGGCCAATTGCAATGGTTGCTACCAGCTCATGATGATAGGCATGACTGACTTTTTCGTCGAAGCTGGATTTTCATGCCGCAAGAGCTGCCATTTAATTTCTAACTTCTGCAATTTCTTCTGCATTTATGTGAAAACATTCATGCAGTGAGAGGACAAAAGATGCATCCAAATACCAATTTCAGAAAGAAGTTCATTGGCTGTTAGGTAGATTTATAGATGTGAAGAAGCTTAATTTAGTTTAGTTCTGGAGGGCTTTAATGCAATGAGAAGCCTATTTCTACATCCGGAAGATTTCTTAGTATTAGTCTCATGCATTCTCATCGCGTTATATTGTAAAATTTTTTATGCTCAAAACGAAAATTCTAAAAGACTATTTTGTAAGTTTCAAACTATTTGAAAACCAGTATAACTACAACATAACAGGTATATAGTTAATATCTACTAATTGAATATACAATATAATTGATAGTATTTAAAAAAGCCATGAATATACTAGCTAGTGAGAAAGATTACATCATTAAACATTATATGCATGAACATAACTATTTAGCCGTTTTATATTTCTTTTTTTCTTCATATATTTTTAGAAGTGACCATTCACTCTACTTTAGTGAAAGAGAAAATTAAAGATCATTTACTTTAGTTATCTTCTATTATTTGATATCAATGGGGCACCATGTAATTTTTTTTTTAAAACTAGCTAGTGAGGAAACATTATAAAATAACTGATTTTCTCAAAGGACTTTTAGGAAATTTTGGTGGCTAATGGGCTCTCATTTTCAATCCGCCACTGTCCTTACTTGTAGTTATTGTAGGGAGGCACAAATATCTTAAAACGACCAGGAAAAAAGTGAGTGAGTGAGAATCATAAAATAAAGGGCAAATTACACTTTACGCCCTTGTGATTTAGTATTTTTTTACATAATATCTCTATGGTTCAAAAGTTATACATAACCCCCTCATAGTTTGGATTAAAGTGTCAAAGTGAAGGAAATGATCATTTGTAACAGAGTCACCCAAAATGTCAAAAATATCCTTATGTAAAGTTGAAAATTATTTATTTATCAAGGAGGATTATATGTATATTTTGAAAATCATAAGGGGGTTATATGATAAAGTATTAAATTATAAGGGGGTTATATGGTAAAATATAAAATCATACGGGGTTAGTGTGTCATGTATTTATAAGGGTAATTTCGATATTTTTAAAGGTTTCGTTATGAATGATCATTTCCGTCACTTTGACACTTTAATTCAAATTATAAGGAAATTATATATAGTTTTTGAAACTATAGGGGGGCCATGTGAAAATCACTAAACTACAAGGGAGTAAAGTGTAATTTGCCCTAAAATGAACCTTATTCAGCGCTGGATTGCCTCGACCCCTTTGCATATTTTTCTCCTCCCAAGCTTTTATGTATCCAAGATCATCATCGAACTGGTGTCACTTATAAAGTGATATCTGTTAGGGTGGTTGTCTAAATTTAACCTTTGGTGAAAATCATCACCTATTAAACTCAAAATTTATATGGTGATTATTAAGAAATAAATTAACAGAAAAAATTGCGGAAGCACATCTTGATCCATGTTGAAAAACTTGATACTTGAATCTCTAAAAATTTTGGAGTGGCCTTCCAGATCAACAAGTATTCGTCAGTCCTTGAGAGAGCCTTTTAGTTTCTTTTTGATATCTTTCCTAACGATGAGATATCAGGAAAGAGTTATTTTGTCGGCACTAAAAAATATGACAATAAGAATACGCGTGATCCGGGGACCATAACCCTATTTATAGATAACATTTCTGTTACCCTTTGGATCCCTATTTCAGCCCATCATAGAAATAAAAAATACTCTTAAGTCTCTATACATTAAAACCCCACATCCTATTAGATTCATTAAATCCAAACCATATTGATCATTTAATTGGACTTAACCTTATTTGACAGCTTGCATCACATAATTATTCACATGTAAGTCCAATATTAGATTAAGGATCCAACAATCTCCCACTTGGATTACATGTGTAATCTTATAATCATGTTTTGCAATAAATCATATGAGCTCAATTTTACTGTCATTATTAAAATGTATCTGTAACCAATTCGATCCATCAATCACACCAACATAGGATCAAAGCGGCCTTTGTTACAATTTCTTAACTTGACCCATCAATGGTCAAATATATTGATACAATTGAATGACATGAATCATGATGTGGATGTGTAGTATGAAAATTTCATGTAATGTGATCATAACATGTCTATTTTCAACTGGTTCACCTTAAATTTTCACGAGATCAAACCATACCAAAATCAGAATGTAAATAAATCCAAACTTTATTTATGCATAAGATATCCTTAAATCATTAATAATCGAAAAGTATCACAAGAGTATTTAAAATAACAAACTCCCATTAAAACTGTACATTATTTAATAACATGACACCCATATGAGTAGTATGCTCATGAAACATTTTTGTAGCAATCCCTTAGTAAACGGATTCGCAACCATGGAGTTTGTCCCGATATACTCTATCGATAACTGTCCACTATGTACTATTTCTTTAACAGTCAGGAATTTGATATCTATATGTTTAGATTTCGTCGAGTTCCTATTATTATTGGAATATAGCATTGCTGACTTATTGTCACAAAATAATTTGAGTGGTCTTTCAATACTATCCATTACATGTAATCTTGTGACGAAATTTCGCAGCCAAATTCCATGATTAGATGCCTCATAACAAGTTATAAACTCTACAGCCATAGTAGAAGATGCTATGAGGGACTGTTTAACACTCTTCCAGGATATGACACCTTCAGCCAACAAATAAATATAGCTCGACGTTAACTTCTTAGTATCTTGGCATCCAACATAATCGAAATTAGTATACCCAATGATCTCTGACTTATCTGACCTCCGATACGTGAGCATGTAATCTTTTATTTTCTGTAAATACTGCATGACCCGTTTAATTGCTTTCCAATGATCTAATTCAGAATTACTTAAATATCTACCTAACATTCCAGTAATGTGCGCAATATTCAGACGCGTACAAAATTGAGCATAAATCAAATTCCCTACCGCTGACACGTAAGGAATCTTTTGCATTTCTTTTTCCTCGAAAGCATTCTTAGGACACTATTCAAGACTAAATTTGTCTCCTTTAGTCACAAGGGTGTCACATGATTTACAATTTTGCATGCCAAACCTTTTAAGAATCCTTTCGATATAGCCTTTTTGTGATAGTTCTAAAATATCTCAAGAGCGATTCCGGTGTATCTGTACGCCTAACACAAAAGATGTATCACTAAAATCTTTCATTTCAAAATTTTTAGTTAGAAATTTCTTGATTTCATGCAATAGACCCATATCTTTGTTGACAAGTAAAATGTGATCAACGTACAATACCAGAAAAATATACTTGTTCCTACAGAACTTATGGTATATACAATCATCTACCAAATTCATCTCAAAATCAAATAAGATAATCACTTGATGAAATTTGAAATACCATTATTGAGACGCTTGTTTGAACCCACAGATGAATTTTTTAAATTTGTATATCATATTCTTTAGATCTCCTGATACAAAGTTTTCTGATTACACCATATAAATCGTCTCATCAATGTCACCATTGAGAAACGTTGTCTTTACATCCATCTAATGTAATTCAAAATCGAAATGCGCCACTAATGCCATAATAATTCTGAAAGAGTCATTTGAAGAGATCGGAGAGAAGATTTCTTTATAGTCGATACCCTCCTTTTGTGTTAATCTCTTGGCGACAAGACGAGTTTTGTATCTTTCCACATTGCCTTTCGAATCTCTTTTAATTTTAAATATCCATTTATAATCAATAGATTTCGTTCTTTCTGGCAATGGGACAAGATCCCAAACATCATTGTCCTTCATAGATTTAATCTCCTCATTCATAGCATCGATCCACTTTTAAAAATTTAAACTTTTCATGGTTTGACGGAAGTTGATTGGATCATTTTCTATCAATCCAGTGTCATCCTCATGTTCTTGGAGAAAAATAATATAATCATCTGGCACTACATTTCTTCTTTCTATAGTAGATATTCTTAATGGCACTAGTTCTTGGAGAGGGAGAGTTTGTTCTTCTATAACAGTTTGTTCTTCGATATTGTCTTAATTTATTATGTCATGATCAAATTCAGGAATAGGATCTTCAACAAGATCAATGACACTTGTGAGAATTTTAATATATTCTTCTTTAAAGACAATGTCCATTATTATATTTTCTTCCTCAAACTCAACATACTCAAAGAATCGGGCATTTCCTATCTCAAAAATTGATTTAGTCGTGGGATCATAAAACTTGTAACTCCTGGATCTTTCAGAGTATCCAATTAAATAACAACTAACTGTTTTTAAATCCAGTTTCTTT